GGGGCTCGAACTGCAGGCCTATTTTAAGATTACCAAGACATATCATATATTCAGAAATATTTTGAAATAACAGTCCTTTTGTAAAAAAGACATACTGGTCAAACCAATTAACTGATTTTGTCCTTTTTGCTTTAGGTATCATGGTGATCTTTTTCTCAATTAACTTTGAGATGCATGTTTAATATTCTATACTAAGTTTCATAATTGCGAACTGAGCTGCTGTTTGGCAAGCCCACACATTAGCTGCTTATTTGACTTGTCTTAAATATCCTACGTACAACACATTTGTAGCATCACTCACATCTAACATTACTGATAGGAGACCCTCGTGGGAAGTCTGAAGGTGCTGGCAAGATTATTTGAAAAACTAATAAAATCCTTGTAATCCCTTTCAAGGATGCAGAAAGGAAAATGGCTGCATTTCAAATTCATGGCATTTCAAAGGCTTGAATGCAGCCCTAAGCTCTACATTTGGAAAAAAAAATCAACACAAGTTCCCTAATTTATGTTCCAAACTGAGAAAACAAACTCATTGCTAAGAAATGAAATTTGCAAAAAAAAAAACCCTCAAATTTATTTCTTAAATACATTTTTTAGTTGACATGTACATATTTAAAACTACAAACTATGCCAAAATATAAATTACAGGAATCACTACCATTAAACTTGATGGATGCAATGTCACCATGAAACCTGGGGTGGCCTTTTGGTTCGGTTTTATTCCTAGACATTCCATCTTTTGAGTATGTATGAAACTGATCACATGCAGATGATACTGACACGATAGCTCTGTGAAAATGTTTGAGAAAGTTCATTGCTTCTGTTTCTCCTCACCACACAGGCCTTAGGTAAGAGGGCTTTCTCTCAGTGTCCCAATGTCTTGATTTCTTTAGACACTCCTATCAGACAGAGGGTTCTGTACCCATTCTCCCTCCTTGCCATCATCTAGCTCCCTACACTCATTGTGGAGTCTGGCACAGAAATACTGGTGTTCTCTCCTTTAAAGCAATCATCTTTGCAGCATACTTGTTAATAACTCACTCAATCCGCTTGCCTTTCAATCCCATCACCTGCTGTCCACTCCAGCTACTCTGACCTTTCCCCTGCCCAGAGCTCCTCCACCTCTGACCAGCATTGCTTGTCCACTCACACCCACCAAATCTGTCCTCTCACTGGCTTCAGCTTCCTCTCAGTGGACCACCACTTCCAATGCTTACAAGCATTTCCAGATTCCTTGCTTCCTTTTCTCCCTTGTGCAGCAAAGTTCAGCCCTGGATCAGACTCACAAATGGACTTCTCCGTGCCTATCTCAGAGCTGACTGGATCCTGGAGGAACCTCATATCCCACACAGATTAGGGCCCCACAAGCTTATGGTCCCCAACCTCCACAAGCACTAACTACTGCCCTACAGCCTCTGTGGGTCACTATTAGCTATCTCAAAAGAGAACGCCACCGTCCATCCATCTAGTTATTCAAGGCAAAAAGCTCAACTCCATCTTTGACTTGCTATTCTTTCCATGACCACAGCACATCGCCTACAAAGCCCTCTAAAAATCCATCTCCTTAACATAGCTCAGATCCTCTACCTACTTTTCCACACACTGTGCTGGATCTCAATCCATATCCCAATCTCATCTGCTGGCCATTCTTACATAACCGCTAGACCGTTTCGAAATGCACATCTCCTTAACAACTTTTATTATACTTAGAATCAAGTTATATCCTCAGTCTAGTATAACAGGTTCTTTAGGTCCCAGCCTGATCAATTGCTCCAATCTTTCAGTGTCTAAGATTCAGCATTCTACTTAATCCGCGCCCCCAACTTTCTTAATTAAAAGACCTATGGAACTTTGCTGAGACCTTTGTTCCTCTCTAACAAGATGCTGCCACAGTGTCCCCCAAAATTATCTGCAACTCTAGCTTCCAACCATCTAGAATTCCATTCCATTAGGGTTCTCTGCCCTAAAACTACCCCTAAAAATGACAAAACAAATATATTGAGCGTTTTCTTGTGAGTCAGATACTTTATCTCATCTAATCCTCACAACTCTAAGGTATGCATCATTTCCATTTCTCAAATGAGAAAACTGAGACTCAGAAGGATTAAAGATTAAATAACCTCACCAGTTAAACAAGCACTAAGAGCGGGGGATTTAGCTCAGTGGTTTTGCCGCCTGCTATGCTAAGCGCAAGGAACCGAGTTCAATCCCCAGTACAAAATAAATAAATAAATAAACAAGCGCTAAGAGATGGAATGGGAAGTCAAAACTAGATTGCCCAGAACATCACATTCTGCTGTCTATTCATAGTCAAATCAGTATCTGATTATCCAAGATGAAAACAATGGAAAAAAAACATTTTTTAAGGCTTATTATTTATGAAGCACCTTGCATAGAGAACCTCATTTATTCCTTACAATGTTCTCAGATAAGCAAACTGCAGACCCAAGAAGGTAGTTTGTGCAAGGTCACACAGCTAGTAAGTGGGTTTGAATTTCTCCACTTCCATCCATATTAGCTCCTCTCAAACACCAATCAACAGCATTTTACAACTGAAGAAACAGGTCTAGCTCAGGGTCACACATCTGATCAGAGGCAAAATTGGGATTAGAACCCAGGCTTCCTGACACTAGTTGACCTGGGCAGATGCTATTTTTAGTCTCTGTGTGCTGAAAGAATCAGATCTTGATGGTTTCCTATTTATAGCAATTTCCTAAAAACTACAATTACTTTCCCTGCGTGCATACATACATGTGAGTGTTGTGGTGTGGTCCTGGGGGTTGAAGCCCGGGCTTCATGGATGCTAGACAAGTGTACTACACTAAGCCATATCCCCACCCTAGCACTAGTTCTGTAGGACTAAACTGACCTCTAATGGGTTTCTTCTCTGGCTCTAAGTGAATTTCTTTGGTAGCCTTCTGCTGATTTGCTGATTCCCTGCTGATGTCCATGTTATAGTAGTCTTCCCACTACCCACTTCTCCAACAGCCTCTGCTCCTCTGCTCCCACTGCATCCACAGAATTGGATACTAAGCTTCAGCACACATCCCATTTCCCGTCTCCTTACAGTTTTCTCATCTTCAGTAATGAAACCCCATCTGTTCACCCACATCCAACTGCCTTCCTTTGTGGTTTCACCAGGATCAAAGCCCTCTTTCATGCTTCTTAGAAGTCCTATTAGTTATTTTCTAAGTGCCATCCATTTTACTCATTCTCCCATCCTTGCCTTGCCTCCCTGGCTGTCAACAATTCAAGAATGATAATGTTGCTTGCTCTAAGGCTCTGTCTCTTTAGTTTGATTTAGGTTCAGGGTAAGTCTCCCTAGTTTCTTTCTTTTGGGCCAGGAATTAATTAATCTCATATAACATACATATACATTCTTCCATATGTATTCTTCCCAGAATGCCTCAGTTGTCATATACCCAAAACTTCTGGAGGGGTTGACAAATGAAACATGTGGGATTAATTAGGCCATCTAGACAACACCAGAACTTTTAGCGGGTAAAGATTCAGGAAAAATGCTACTTATCAAGGTGAGACATCACTACTGGGTCCCTGTGATGCTGAGCAGAGCACTGAAAGAAGGGCACAGACCTCACGCTGTGTCCTTCACAAGTGACAGGTGCTTAAGATCTCCCCAGAAAAGGAGCAGGAGGTAGGAATTTAGGGACAGAAAGGTGTAGGAGCAACAGCTAGATATAAAAGAATGTGAAGAACTGCTGATATTTAGGGGAGAACTGATAGGAATAATAGGCATGAATGCCTATGAATCCCTAGCATCTAAAGATTGGAAGAACTCTCAGAACGATCAAGCAAAATCCCAACCCACTGTGCGAGAATGACATAAACATTTATTCAGGAGGTGGCATTCTTCTAGGTGAACATCTCTAACAGTGGGAAATGACCCACATGTTGATCTTAATCGAATGAGGAAGATCTGTATGTAAAAAATCAAGTCAAATAGGGAAAGTAGAGGGTGTTGCTCAAATACAAGGTGGGGCACCTAACACAAGAGCAGGGCATTTGGAAGTCTTTACAAAGCAGGCAGCATCTAGGCTGAGCTTTGAAGAGTGTTGTATTAGCTGAGGGCAAAGTGGAAGGCCCCATAGGAGTGAGAGAAAACGAGTGCTTCAGGCTTCTCAGTTTCCCAAGAAATTCAGTGTTGCGAGAAGCTGGAGTCCAGATCTTGAAGTACCTTTCCAACCACTCTGAGGAATTTGGGCTTGATTCGGGAGGTTTTGGAAAGCCTGTGAAGGGTTTTAAGGAGTAGCGCCCTCTATCGGGCTGCAATGGGGGAGATGCTGCGACAGTCGGGCGGTAAGGAGACAAGATGGGAAGGCCTTGGTGGCCCTAGAGGTGTGACCAAAAGTAAAGCGCCCCTTTTTGACAAGATCGAGACAAAAACATAAAGTTCAGAACGCAGTGCGAAGATCTCCTCTGTCCTTCTGCACTTTTGCTGGGCAGGAACCAAAGCAGGTCGCCCTCGGCTGGCCCCATGACCGCCAGCTGTGAGTAGGGGAATGTTCCCTAACCCCCTTTCCCAGTTAGGAAAACTGAGGCCCAGAGTCCTGAGGTACAAATGGAGGGGGAAAAGGAATTAAAAGGCCTCTCCAGAGTCTGTTCGAAGCCACGCATGATCCTTTGAGGGTCATGCGGCCTGAATCACTCCTTCGCCAGCCACCCCCCAAGTGCCGTCTTTGCTGGGGAAACAGTCCTTCCGCCCTGCTCCGCGCCTCCGTCTCTTCAATGCACTCTGGGAAATGTAGTCCATCTCTGCTCGCCTGCCCGCTGTATGAGTCAACATAGAGTCCTGACGGGAATACAAGTCCCAGAAGGCTGTGCGGAAACTCCAGCGGTCCCTGGGAAATGTTGTCTTTACAGAGGGACCCAGGAATCCGCAGGCGGGGCCAAAGAGACAGGGGATAGTGCCCCCCCCAATGGGCAGCCTTATGGGCGGGGCCCGGGTTGCCATTGGCTACGGTGGCGCGGGGGAGGCGGGGTCAGCGGAATGAGGCGCGGAGCTGTTCGCCGCTCCAGGTGCTGAGTCCGAGGAAGGCTCCGGACGCTAGACTCGCGGACGCTGCCGCCGCAGCCGCCGCGAAAGCCGCCGCCGGAAAGCCGCGGCTGTGAGGAGCCGGGGCTGTGAGGAGCCGGGAGGCGCCGGTGGGCCGCCAGGCGCTGACTGCCCTCCTGCCCGCCGTCTGAGGTTGGTGCTGCAGATTCGCTTTTGTTTTACTGGGTTGAACTGAGGCGTGAGGGGGCCTGGGGAGTTGATGGGACGTGGAACCCCTCTCTCAAGACCATCTGTCCCGGAGAGCTGCTGACTGACCCCGGGCCTCCCCATGGCTGGGCGCCTAAGGTCCGAGCACCTTGGGTTAGTTTTTGTTTCATGGTGGAGGGGCTTCTTGAGTGTGAGGGGCGAGGCTGGGGGACCCTCCCCCCATCTCTCCGGGAAAAGCGTGGAAAGCTCGAGCCTCCTTCCCCCTGTTCCTGAAGTCGAGGCTGCTTGGATTATTGAGGGAGAAGTGTTCTGGGTGAGAGATTCGGAGGCAGGAGGACCCTTCCCCGCAACACCCCAGTTGTTCGAGGGCACAAAGAGGTATGGTTATGATGGATGAGATGGCAGGACTCCTCCCTCCTCTCAGATCCTGCTGAGGTTCGAATTAGAAGGGAGACCTTTCCCCATGCTCTCCCTCTGCAGCCTAGGGTTTTTGAAGAGGGAGGTTGAGGACATCCATAGACCAAAGGCTCATCCCCATATCACTTGTGTATAAGGCTTTTGTGGGGAGAGAGTCTGAAGGAGGGCTGAGGTGAGAGAGGGAAAGGTCGGGAGACCTCTCCCCACCTTGCTGTGAGTCGTCCATAAAGAAAAGCACTGACGGACGTTCTGGGTCCTTGATGCTCCGGCCATCGACTAAGGTCGGAGTGGCTTGGGTATAAGAGCTGGGCATCGGAGAGAAAGGATCTAAGGGACTCCTCCCCACTCGCGTCTTATCTCTTAAGGGCTCTCCACCTGCATCTAGATGTGGGGATATAAGAGTCGAAACGACCCTCCCTGCCCCGCCACGCCCCAGGGACCAGAGCTTCTGTACCGCGGCGAGGTGCCAGCACCAGAATGGCACGTGCGGGGCAGGACAGGGCTGTCCCCTCTCAACAACCACCCAGGAGCTCCAGGCCCGGGTCCCCCGTGCACGGGATCTTCGAGGGCTGCTCTGTTTAGTACGGGGTGCGCCCCAGATCCGGCCGCGGGGAACTGTGTCCTGGGCGCGCAGCGGTTGCTCCAGGGTGCCCAGCTCTCGTGCTCTGCTCCGGCATCTGCGGGAGGACAAAGCGGCGGTCGCCGCACTGGAGGGCGTGCACGGCGGGCTGGGCGAGGGGCGCGGCTGAGGGAGGGGGGCTTCGGGCGCGGCGCGGATGGCTTCCGCGGAAACGTGCCAGGAGCCAGGCGAGAGACAAAGCGCGCTCTCTTCTCGCGGGCCCGAGAAAGCCGGCATGGAAAATCCCGGGGGAGGCGATGGCTGAGCTGGGCAGAGCACTATGTCCGCTACCCCCTTCTCTTTTCCCACACACCTCCCCACACCCGATTGCCAGCCGCGACCCTGAATCCTGTGTGCACGATGGTGGCCAGGCCTAGGACTTTGACCAGGAAGACAGGGGCAGGCAGGGGCTCTACGTTGAGGAGTGGGGGTTAGTGGAGGGAACATGAGTGTTTCAGGGTCTGGAGGGGGGCATTCTGACTAGATCTCTATATGTACCATCAGTCATATTAGGTTAGATTTGGTTCTGGAACTGGGATGCATTTTTTTTTTTTTTTTTGGTACGGAACTCGGGTTAAGGTTTGGTATCGAACTCGGGTTCCTGTGCTTGCGAGACAGGCGGTGGAACCACTGAGCTAAATCCCTGGCCCTTGGGATGCATTTAAATCTGTGTGTGTGTGTGCATGCTTGTATGTGTGTGTGCAGTGTGTGTGTGTTTGCATTGATGATGATGTGGTCAAAGTGTAAATGTGTGTGACTAAGTAAAGGTGCCAGTGTGTGCTCCAGTGTTTGTGTGTATGTCATGGTGAGCTGTGTGTGTATGGAGGGTGGGGGAGCCACTTACTTGATTGTTGAGGGCAGCAGGATAGTCACTCTTTTAACTCTTAAGCCACAGTAATAACCTAGGGTCTGAGAGGATGCCTTCAGGGTGAGGGTATCTTCAGGCTGCCTTGGACCTAACTTGCATGCCTGCAATAAGTGAGACTTCACAAAGATGTGGAGACCTCCTTAGTCTTGTGGAACTTCAAGTCTGACCCTTATATCCTTACCAGTGTCCTGCCCTTCCTATCCCTCATCCTTCTGTAATGGGCTGCCCTGAGGACCAGAATTCTGCCCCACCACTGCCACACACTGCCAAGGTTTTAGGAACTCATAAGAGTCCCTCATAGTGTGTGTGCAAGATTGTGTGGCAAGGCAACTTTTGTCACGTTGGCCTCCATGTCTGGGAGTGCCACAGGACTGGGGTTGCTGGCAAGTCATAGGTGGCATCTCAGAAATACCATTTACATGCACAGAGCGGACTGCAGGGTGACGGCGATTCCATTAAAAGGTAATACCTCTAGAAGATGGGCACAGCTCTGTCAGACCTGCCCACCCCACCAATTGACTCCAATTTCACAGCACTTTTATGGCAAAGGTACTGCATGGTCTTGAGAAATCTTGCAATAGAATGAGGGGTTAGACTGTGGCCAGTGAAAGAGCAGGTACCCAGTAATGGAGCCACCAGCCAGCCAGCCTAGCCTGTCTGATCCAGTCCCTAGTGTCTATAACCAGTGTCCACAGCGACCTCTGCTGGGAAGAAGTCAAATCAAAGCACAATTTGACAACCAACACTGCCTTGGGGGTAGAGGCTTAGAGTGGATGTGGGCATTGTTAGGTAAACCCACAAATTTTTCTATTTGGGGCCTGTGTATCTATCTTGGGTGTCCTGAGTTGATGTTACTCTCTGTGGTTACTTCAAGTGAATTCAAGCATGAACTGCTGATGTCCTCAGCCCTATGAAAACATTTAAAGAGAGTCTGCAGGCCTTTGTGTTTGCATCCACTTGAGGGTGGGGATCAAATCTATTTATTGAAACAATATATAGAAAACATTTATCAAGCTCAAGGAGATTTCTATATTTTCCCAGTCTCTCCCTTACCTGTATTGTTCCCTTCCTCTTTTTTCTTGTTCCACTTTTATCTTTTTCTCCTCATTATTAAATTATTTCAAAGACAAATCTCTTCCTCAATGATTATATGGCCCAGAAAATGCAGAAATATGGAGGCTATTACTAAATGCAAAAATCTTGTGAATACAGGCTCTTCCAGACCTAATGATGGGAGTGGGGGAGAGGAACGAGACATGTTCCATTCCAAATAACCACCTGGTGACATATGTCTCTCCTAGAGTTACTTTGAAGGGATCTCACACTGTCACAAAATTGTTAGAGCTCCTCAAATGAAAGGAGATATTTAAATACCTGGTATTGTTCTTACTTTGGCATCCATGTGATTTGCATTGAACTATGTGACTCAGTATCATAAAGTAAAAATAGGACTTAATTTCTTCTTCACCTGTTCAGAAGGTGACTGCATATAGTGTGTTGTGTTCTGCTCTGGAGAGTGAAAAGCTAAATTACCTCATAAATTGAACCACCTGCTTATCCTGATTAGAGAATGGTGCTTAACATCACCTACAGCAGTAATATTATTTTATGTTTCTTTCAATTCAACCCTGAATCTTTGTCTTGTAAGACATTTCCTCATGCTCGTACATTATTATTTCACTTGAAGTTAATCAAGAATGTTTTATCCTTGTACTGAATCCAAACAAATTAAATATCAGCAGATACAGGAAGATGTGGGTGGTGTTTCTGTTCTTTTTAGGCTCAAAAAAAAAAGTCTTGAAGTTCACAGGAAAGAAAAAAAAAAGGACTCTATGGTTCAGTAAATCTTATAGGTGGAAATATGGCTTTCTGAGTTGAGACTCCTTAGAAATTTCCAGGATTGCTCATGTTGAAGAATCTGAGCATGCTTGCCAATGGCAGTATGCATGCTGAGAATGAGACTGCAGTTCCTAGGATTCCTAAATTCCTGCACTAATGCAGCCTTTCTGGGAACATTCCCGGATTCTTCCGCTCCCTCTCCCACAGGCACCCAAGTTGCCAAAGAGAGGAGCTGTCCGAGGTTCTGGAGTACTAGTCTCAGCCTCCTTGGTGTAGAGAGAGGATTATAGGATGTGGAACAGAAGCAAGGACTGAGGCCACTGGCCTCTGTGAGGATTTCCCTAAAGCTGATCACAGAACAAATAGAAAGAAACGGAGTTGTAGAGGCTTTTACTGCATCATTCTGAATGAACCCATCAGCAGTCCCTATTTAAAGAATTACAAGCTAATAATAAAAAGAAACATTTTCAGAGTCAGGCTCTTCACAAGCAAGAATGCATTTAATCCTCATAGTCCTAGAGGTGACATATGTGATGGTGCTATTCCCACTTGCAAAATGAGGAAATGAAGCTTTTCCAAAGGAAAAGGTTTTGCCTAAGGTCACACAGAATGGGCAGAGTTTAGGTTCCATCCTGGATCTATTAAACTCCAAAGTCCCCTCCTTACCACATTTATTTCCTTACTGCTATTATAGAAGCAAAATTAAAGTATTGGACTATCCTATGTAATATTCTAACCAAATTTTAGAGGAACAGGAGTGGAGATCAACTGATTCAGACATAAATCACAGAATCAAATTCAAGGAAGGGTACTGCTATTCTTCATGGCTTATTCTGGTAAAAGGCTTGTTACCTGAACATGGCCACCAAAGAAGGGAAAAGAGCAGTGTAATGATCCTCCTGACCAGCAGCTGAGGGCTTTCTTCCTAGAATGGAACAAATTTCACAGGAAGCCAAGCCTGGATGGCAACAAAGTGGAGTTTTTTGTTTTTAAAGAAAGTAGAAAAGAGGGAAATTAAGAGAGTTTTTTAAAAAATAAAGAGTACAGGGGCTGAGGATTTAGCTCAGTGGTTTCACTGCCTGCTGCACAAGTGCAAAGACCCGAGTTTGATCCCTGGTACCAAAAAAAAAAAAAAAAAAAAAAACCTCAAGAGTACACACAGAGCCAAATAAATAGGGCTTATCATTATTTTCTAACAGCCTATTCCAAAGTTAAACATCTGCATATTGTTAGGAGATTCCT